CTATCCAACACAAAAAGATTTTTTGAATTCGAACCAGTAGTTTCTGAGATTAGCGTGTTCAATTAAACAATCACTTCAGCTTTATTATATAAGTATAGAAGTATAGATGAGAATATAATGAATGAGCACATTTTTTGATAACAGAATTAATTTCGTCGTTTTGAGCTTGCCCCCAACGTTGGCAAGCTATAATAGACAAAAAAAAATATCAAATTCTAAAATTTGTCAAATTTGACAGTTTTTAAATTTAGGTATCAACAGACCACAATAAGACAATAAAATTATTATCGCTGTGATAGACATGTAACTAAGGGCATGAACAAATTCTATTCTAAGAAATGGGGTCATGTGACCCATGAATTATATTCTCAATTATAATATAACAAGTGATATGATTATTATCGATAATATTTCGAGTGAAACCGAGCTGCAGATTCAACGAGTGCGAAGCACGAGTTGAATGTGCTGCTTCGGTTTCACGAGCCATATCCTCGATTATTAATCATATCACGAGTTATATTCAACATGAGAATATAATAAATGAACACATTTTTTGATAATAGAATTAATTTCGTCGTTTTGAGCTTGCCCCCAACGTTGGCAAGCCATAAAAGACAAAAAAATTTATGAAATTCTAAAATTTGTCAATTTGACAGTTTTTAAATTTAGGTAGCAACAGACCACAATAAGGCAATAAAATTATTATCGCTGTGATAGACATGTAACTAAGGGCATGAACAAATTCTACTGGAAGAAATGAGGTCATGTGATACATGAATTATATTCTCAAAATAATAAAGTCACAAAGATAGACAGCAATCAAGTATTCTGAAATCAGTTCGGCAAAAAATTTCTAAAATTTGTATTAACAAAAAGATGTCCACATCGGACACCAGATTCTCTAGGTCCTTATAACATGGATAATAAATATAAATATTTTTCAACTGGTGTTGATACGTATACACACATTTATAATAACCCCAACCGCTACCAGTCTCGCGCACTGTGGAAACTGGAAAAAACCGCAAGTAAAACCGCGAGAAGAAAACCGCCGAGTAAGCCAGAGAAAAAATTAAATTCCTCCAACACCGACATCGGTTTAAAATCATGGCGGTTATGGCAGAATAAGTTCAATGTTAAACAAAGATGATAAGAATTTTCATTGCTCCCGACGTAGTTTTAAGAGCAGCAAAGTGATCTTCCTTCTAGAGATAATTTCAGTAACAAGTAAAATCATTTGCGAAAAGCCTTACAGGTTTGGAAATGATTGTAAATTTGATCCTTAAAATAATAATAAGTAAGTAGTAAAAGGTAAACACACAAAACACAATCCAGTATATACATACTTATTTAAAGTTTTAAGATTATATAAAACTATAAACCGTAACATTCATTGTTAAGAAATTGAAAATTTGCAAAGTGATTAATCAAACCGAAGGCTAGACAACCCGTTGGGAAGCTGTACTACTAACATCTCACTAACAAATTGAAAATTAACGAACGGTGATAACAATATCTTATTCCCACCTTCTTTATTGTAAATAAACTCCTTATATTCCTCAATGATTAAATCCAGGTAAGGCTAGACCACCTGCAACTTTCTGGTTAATTTTAAACTTATCTTCGTCGCAACGGCAAACGTAAGAAGTATGGCAAACGGAGAATCAACAGTTTTCTTTCCAATAATTTCCAACGAGAATTATAGGTATAGCAGTCAAAAGGATCAGTTTCAGAGACTTGGATGGAAATAATGTCGCTGTCTGAATTGTTAAAAATCTTGAACTACGAGGATGGTCTGAGAAATTCGCGGCCTGTCAATGAAAGAACACATTTATAAATTTGACACTATTTTTAATTTTCTACATAATCTCCCTGGAATCTACTCCACTTGGACTACCGATGCTCCGATGCGATTATACCCTCCCTACAATGGTTTTTTGAAAGGTCTGCAAAATAAGCCTCTACAGCTTCGATAGCTTCAAAATTAGACCCCAAACGCTGTCCACCTAGGAATTTTTTGAGTTCTAGGAATAGATGGAAGTCCAAGAGAGCCAAATCTGGTGAATAAGGCGCATGTTCCAACAAATCGTATTTTAAATCTCTCAATTTTCCCATTGCAATAACATTTTTGTGCACAGGCGGATTGTCTTGATGAAAAATGATTTTTTTTTGTAAACCGGGCCTTTTTTCTCGATTTTTTTTATCTAATCTATCTAGTAGATTAGTATGATATTCCCGCGTTATGTTTTACCTTGTTCCAGATAATCAATAAGTAAAATTCCTTTAGCGTCCCAAAAAACCAATGCCATAACCTTTCCGGCCTATGCAACGGACTTTGCCTTCTTTGGTGCTGGATAACTAGCTTCTGTCCAATGTTTAGATTGTTGTTTTGAATCTGGAGTAAAATGGTGAACCCAAGTTTCTTCCATGGTTACAAATCTTCGCACAAAATCAACTGTATTTGCTTTAAAACGATCTAAACAGTGTTCCGAAATTTGCATGCGAATCCGTTTTTGATCCACCGTTAAAAAATGCGGCACTCATCTTGCACAGAGCTTTTTAATATCCAGTTCTTGGTGCAAAATGTGACCTACCCGTTCTTTCAAGATGCCAATAGTCTCAGCTATTTCACGAACTTTACTCGTCGATCAGATAATACCGTATCATGTACTTTTCGAACGATTTCCGATGTTGTCGCAGTTTTTTATCGTCCCTCACGTGGGTCACCTTCAGTGCTTCTACGGTTACGCTTATATTCGGCACCCCATTTCTTAATGGTTGAAAATGAAGGTGAAGAGTCCTCATACACCTTTAAAAACTTTGTATGAATTTCGGTCGGCGTTAACCATCTTTAACAAAAAAACTAATTACAGCCCGATACTCAATTTTCTCCATTTTGCGGAATGTCCATAACACGCAGCTTTCAAAAATGGATTTGAAGAAAAGTTTTTGACAGAATCTTTAGCAATTATTAATGTAAGCTTATAATACATGTGCCTATTTGGGGAAAAAAAATCAAGGTGATAGATTCATTTTTTATGACTGAGGCCGAGAATTTCTAAGACCATCCTCGTACGTTCCACTTCTTATTACTAACTTCTCAATTTATTTTCCTGTGCCGTTCATTTCGGGAAATTACAACTTCAATAAATTCTGTAAAATAATAACCTATTGCAAGCAACGTATTGCAAAAAAAGTTGCGCCGTGATGATTACTTGGTAAATAACTGGCGAAAGACTAAATCTATGCATAAGAGTATTGCTTTTACATAATGTATGATGAATGAATCATAGTTTGGTAGCAACATCACTTTATTTTATTATGCATCGAAAGTTAAGAGATATTCCAATTATAAGAACAAACTAAACCAAACTAAAAATATATATACTTAATAATTAATAATTAAAAACAGATTTAACGAAGAAACGACATGCAAACTAAACCAAACTAAAAATATATATACTTAATAATTAATAGTTAAAAACCGATTTAACGAAGAAACGACATGCTTATACTTATAAACATACTAATATTTTTATATCACAATTCCATTCAACAGATGAGTCATTTACCTAGTGAACTTGGCTTTACCAGTGTTATCAAGTTGTGATACCAGACACTGGTGACTGACTGTCTCGCCAGACATATTACATCATAATACTATTTACACAACTAACACATAATTTATTCTTAAAACAAGATGTTTCCATTATGCTAATTGTACAAATCAGAAAAAGGTCGTACAAGCGATAAAAAACCTACTTGGTATTAACTATGTTAAAGTATAAATCTAAAAATAAAACCCGATAATGTATTATTATTAGACAACTTTTGTTAGTATAAATCTGTTTGTTGCACTTCCTGGAAGATTAAAATTGACGAGGTTAAAGGTAATATATACAAAACTCACTTGACATACACCTTCTAAACCTTTTATGACTTAACTGGCTATTGTATAACTTAACTTTACAGCTCCATTGTAGCAACAATCGACAGTAATAATCGTTGCGGTTCGGGTCCATAAAGCTTACAATAGCCAGTTTTACTTATGGGTGGTTTGGGTTAAGCCGCTTAAGTCATAAAAGTTTTACAAGGTATATGTCAAGTGAGTTTTGTATAAAGTCAACACTACAACTGCTGTTGAATTTCAATAACTCATGGATTGCTAAGAATTCATACCATCAGAATCTGTGAATTATTTCTTTGTTTGCATTAAAATAAATTAATAATTTTTCAAAATTTATAAACTGCATTACCTTATCCGCCTGTCTGGCATTTATCATCTATTATTATCTGTCGTTTATATGCTTGGACATAATAAAACTAAGGACAACAGAAATGGAAGTTGAAATGCCTTCAAAAAGTTGTTCAGAATGTTTAGAACTAATTTTACCTAAAATAACTGCTCAAGCAGCTGCTGCCTCCAATAATCTCTTGCCTCAAACATACAAAAAGGGATATGAAATGAAGCTCATGAACGGGCGAGCCGAACACAAGTTTACATCATCTTTAGAGACCATTCTCATGGCACACTTTGATAAAATCAATGCTAAAATCAAGCCATCTTCATTGTGGACTAAGTATTCGGTGCTTAGAAGTACGCTAAGTGTGAAGCAAAACATAAATATTATTAAATATAGCTATAGAGAAAACTTCAAGCATTTCTTGAAAGTTAAACTTCTGGTCATAGCAGAAACTCAAAAACACTTGCAATAGTAGAAGTGAACAAGTTTATAAAATAAGCTCCTGTAATAGTTCATTTTAAATATGTAGTTATATATAATTGTTATATTTTTTGAATAAATTTTTTTCAAGAAAAAAAGAAGAAGTTTTTATAATAAGAGCATAAGGAGAAATATTCGATATCAACTATCAGAAATAAAACGTTATCTATTTACATTCATCATATTTACTTTCATTCAGAGTTCTTTTATATTGACACGACAAACAAAACATTGTTCCAATATTTTGTTAACGTACTTCAAATTTTTTTCACCTCAAGTGGCTATAAAAAGAGCCATCCTTTACAGTTTTATCAATTGTGAGACGCAAATATAAGCTGACACTACGGTTTCTAAAATTTTATATGGTTTTGAATTATTGATTAAAACGTATTTTTTTCAGATCAATTGAAGAATCATTACACAATTAATTTTTCTATTTGAGATTTGGTACATTATAATCATGGCTCAAATAGCAGCGGCCGCAGCGGTAGCCGTCGGTTCGATAGCGGTAGAAAAGGTTGTAGAACAGGGGGTCAAAATGCTGAAAGCAGAAACATACCTAAGAATTGTGAATAATTCAAAGAGCACCATAGTTTCCACTCAAATCACCGAAACTGACTCTTTCGATTGGTCTGGTTCCGGCCCTTCTGGCAATTTTCAAAAAAAGAAAATTGCCGTGGGTGATTACTGGGAAGAAAGAGAAGATGTCAATATCTTTGCTTCAAATTGTCCATTTACAATGTTACTACGATTTGCCGACGGTAGCAAAGACAAGTTTAGAATTAACCAGAAGTATGCCATTGGAAAAGCGAAGCCTGGGTTTAGCCACCGTGAAGGAAAAAGGAAAATAACTTATGCAAAGAAAGAAGGAAATAAGCTTGTTATCACGGTACAATAAACCTAACGTACATTTTTGAATTGCTTATGCTTACATGTAGTAAGAATATAATTAAATAAAGGACTTTTTATTTCATTTATTAATTTTCTAGAGTTTTATTTGGGGTAATCTTACATATATATTTCATATAATATACCATATGAACAATATATTTTTTGATGAATGGAGGTTATGATCAGCACACGTGGGAAATTCTTTTCTTCTGATTTTGTCTTCACGACGTCAAAAATATATCTTGATTTAGTTTAACTTCTACGTTGTCCATTAAGCATTTCCTTAAATTTTCATTTTGTTTTATTTACAATATTTCTTTATTTAAGTATCAAAAAATAATCAACTGCATGTTTCACCACGTGGTTTTTACTATGAAAAAATGTGTTAGTTCCAAAAACCGGGGTTGCATTCCCTCCTACATCAGGCAGAGTCAGTTTCTGGTTACCAACTACTTGGAACACACAGTAACATCTGACGTGTACTAACAGTAGTCACATATACTATACTAATTAGCACTGCGGTCTGTTAGTCAATCCGGTAAATCATCATATCTGAGTTATACATGTAGGAACAACCGTTCCCACAAAATCAGGTGTTCTACCTGAGGGCATTTGTAATATTTGTATAAATGTAAATATTTCCTATCCTTCGTCTACCTGCCCTACACTTCTTCATACTTTCTCTTTTCGCTTCTGGAACTTTCTAAACCCTTCTTTACCTACTTCCACCTCTTCAAATCCGAGCTTACCTGTGTACCATTTTAAACACCCTTCCTTCTTCTCCCTGACACCCTCGAACAGTAAAGAACAAAATAAAAACTCAAAACCGTACCGTCGCTTTTAAATCACCAACAATACCCACAACTGGTGACCCCGACGTGATTGAAAGAAGAAAAAAACGTGAGTATTACCAGTGATCGCGACGAGTAGAGTGCGGAATTTCGAGAGAAAATCAAAAACAATGGCGCCAAGCGATACAAATAGCCCGTCAGTCGATCGCGTTGCCGTAAAAGTTCCACCGTTTTTGCCCCAGGATCCGGAATTATGGTTCCTGTTACTTGAAAGTGGTTTTGAAGGGTCGGGCATTACGCAAGAAAGCACTAAATTTAGTTACGCGGTCGGCGCCCTGGATGCGAAATACGCGGTCGAGATACGCGATGTACTCCTAAAGCCCAAAAGTGAGCGGACATACGAACTGCTAAAACGCGAATTAATCAAACGGATGGGGCCATCAAAGGAAGAAAACACGCGCCGCCTCCTGGAGAACGGTCCACTTGGGGACCGCAAACCCACACAGTTCCTCCGCCACCTACGAGTTCTCGCCGGGACGGAGTTCCCAGAAGAGGTCCTACAGACGCTGTGGATGAGACGCTTGCCCACACACATGCAAGCGCTGCTGGCCGCGCACAAGGACCTCACGCTGGATAAGAGAGCCGAGATCGCGGACTCCGTTGCGGAAGCTTATGGTAACCTGGGTAAAATAGCCGAGACAACCATATCACCCGCAACCCCGTCATCGACCCAGGAGCAATCGAGGATAGACGGAGTGGAACGCACCTTGGCGGCCGTCTTGCAAAAGTTTGCTGCAATTGAGATCTCCCAAATATCGCAGCCCCAGAACCGTTCGCCTTCAGACTCGCGGCCAGAGACATCGTCGCGTTCGCGTTCGCGATCGGGATCCCGTCATCGAACGAAAGGCGACAGCGGTATTTGCTATTACCACTGGCGTTTCGGCGACACGTCAAGAAGATGCGACAAGCCGTGTAGGTACAGTTCCCTGTCGGCGGGAAACGCCGAGGGCAGTCGTTAAAGACGGCCATTGACGCCTGCCCCACCACCCCTACAACAACATCGAGCCGTTTATTCGTCACCGAGAGGACAACAGGTAAAAAATTCCTCATCGACACCGGCGCCGATCTGTGTGTGTTCCCGCATGCCCTGCTACCAAAACCGCGTACGAAGTCCGCATATGAACTTTCCGCGGCAAACGGCACCGTCATCGCAACGTACGGAACAATCACGTTGTCGTTGAATTTAGGCTTACGACGCGATTTTACGTGGAGATTTGTTGTCGCGGACGTGGTGAAACCCATTATCGGAGCCGACTTCCTGGCTCACTACGGACTCCTGGTGGACATAAGAAACCAGCGACTACACGATCAAATTACCCAACTCACTTCCATCGGAGAGGTGACTGAGTGTGAGATCCCGTCCGTAAAAACCATCGCCGGAAGTTCACCGTTCCACGAACTCCTCCAACGGTTTCCCGATGTCACACGTCCAGACGGAACCCCTAAGGCGGTGAAACATTCCACCCGCCACCACATCGTAACCACGCCGGGCCCTCCCATTGCGCAACGTCCCCGAAGACTCGCGCCCGACCGACTCCAGGCAGCAAGAAAAGAATTCGACGCCATGGTCCAGCTAGGAATCGCCCGCCCTTCCCAAAGTTCATGGTCTTCACCGCTTCACATGGTGCCCAAAAAGGGCGACGAATGGAGGCCATGCGGAGATTATCGTGCCCTCAACGCGAGAACCTGCCCCGACAGGTACCCGGTGAGGCACATCCAAGATTTTGCGCAATCCTTACACGGCAAAATCATATTTTCAACGATCGATCTGGTACGCGCATTCAACCAGATCCCGGTCGCAGAAGAAGACGTTCCGAAGACTGCCATTACCACCCCATTCGGCTTGTTTGAATTTCAATTCATGACGTTCGGCTTACGTAACGCAGCGCAGACGTTCCAGCGATTCATGGACGAGGTGTTGCAGGGTCTCGATTTTTGCTATGCATACATCGACGACATCCTCGTCGCATCCGCATCACCAGAAGAACACCTCCAGCACTTGGAAACTGTGTTTCAGCGTTTGAGAGAGTACGGCGTCGTTATCAATCCCATGAAATGCGTCTTCGGCCAGCCAGAGGTCAAATTTTTAGGATATCTCGTTTCCGGCGCAGGTACACGTCCACTTCCAGAAAAGGTCGAAGCAATCCGCAGCTTCCCGCAGCCAAATACAATAAAAAAGTTGCGTCAGTTCTTGGGTATGTTGAATTTTTTCAGAAGATTCCTACCTAAGGCGGCAGAGACGCAAGCACCTTTGAACGACCTCCTCCAGGGCAACGTCAAAGGAAAAACTCCGGTCAACTGGACACCAGCAACGGTGGCCGCATTCGAGGCGTGCAAGGAGAGCCTCGCCGGAGCCACATTATTGGCACATCCCGAGCCAAACGCACCATTAGCTATTTTTTCGGACGCGTCAGATTTCGCCGTCGGAGCAGTCCTCCAGCAGAAGGTCGACGGTCACTGGCAACCGTTGGACTTCTTTTCCAAAAAACTGAGTCCCACCGAGTCAAACTACGGGGCTTATGATCGAGAACTACTAGCCATTTATCTCGCAGTCAAACATTTTAGGCATATGGTAGAGGCGCGGTCTTTCACCATCTACACAGACCACAAGCCAATCACGTATGCCTTTCAGAAGAAGAATACCGAGTCCTCGCCCCGCCAAATACGACACCTGGACTTCATCAGTCAATTCACGACTGACATTCGCCACATAGCAGGGAACGAAAATGTTGTCGCAGATACTCTTTCTCGCATCGAGGCTGTGGAAACCTCGATTGATTTCCAAGCTCTGGCAGCAGCACAACAGCAGGATGAGGAACTCGAGAGATTTCGAACAGGTAATACAGGCCTGCAGCTCAAACTGGTACGAATCCCAGGCTGCGACGTATCGGTACTCTGCGACGTCTCCACGCGAACAGCGCGTCCTTACGTCACCGAGTCATTTCGCCGAGCTGCATTCGAGTCGATTCATCGTCTATCCCATCCAGGCGTTAAAGCCACCGTAAAACTGGTGACGCAACGTTACGTCTGGCCATCGGTCAAATCAGATTGTCGAGAATGGGCCCGCAACTGCGTAGAGTGTCAGCGTTCGAAAATCTCACGCCATGTCTCTTCGCCCATCGGTACATTCTCGCCACCATCAGCGAGGTTTGAGCACGTGCACTTGGACATAGTAATTATGCCACACTCAGAGGGTTATCGTTACTGCCTTACCATGGTAGATCGGTACACCCGCTGGCCAGAAGCCGTACCCATTAGCGACCAGGAAGCAGCAACCGTGGCACGAGCTTTTTACGACACATGGATCGCACGATTCGGCACCCCGCTACGAGTAACCACCGACCAAGGTAGACAATTCGAGTCGTACCTATTTAAACAACTAAATTGTTTATTAGGAACCACTCATTTAAGAACTACAGCGTACCACCCCTCAGCCAACGGAATGGTTGAACGCCTACACCGACAGTTAAAAGCGGCAATCATGTGCCACCAGAATAATCGCTGGACTGAAGCCCTATCCACCGTCATGCTCGGCATTCGAGCAGCATGGAAAGAAGACTTCCAGGGTTCCTCCGCGGAGCTCGTATATGGCCAACCTCTCCGCCTGCCCGGTGAATTCCTAGGCATCCCACGCGACGAAAACAGCGCAGACAACAGCACCCCAAACTTCGTCAAAGAGTTACGTCAACACGTGCGTAACTTGAAGCCATGTGAGGGAACACGACATGGAGCAAAGAAGACCTTCATTTTTAAAGATCTCGCCACGTCCGAACAAGTTTTTGTACGCCACGACGGTCCCAAGCAGCCGCTTCAACAGCCATACGACGGTCCGTACAGAGTCGTAAGGCGATCGGCGAAAACGTTCGTCGTCAACATCAAAGGTCGAGATGTCACCGTTTCAATAGATCGGCTCAAACCCGCGTACATACTCAGTGACGACACGCCCACGTCAGAGTTTGGCCGCGACACTACGAGGACGACGCCCACAACAGACGAACCAGCGCCCTTCGCAGATCAACCCCACGACGACGACGAGATGCCAGCTTCCACAACGACGAGGACCACGAGGTCAGGAAGACGGGTGCGCTTCCCTGAGCGCCTGCAAAGCGGTTTTTCATAAAAAAAAAAAACACTAGCAGGGGGGTACTGTAGGAACAACCGTTCCCACAAAATCAGGTGTTCTACCTGAGGGCATTTGTAATATTTGTATAAATGTAAATATTTCCTATCCTTCGTCTA